TATGTCTGTGTATGTGTATGTTATTTGTGTACGTATATGTATATATATATAAGTGTGTATGTGTATTTGTGTGCTTATATATATATATATATATACGCATATTTTCATGTGCACCTATAAAAATATGCGTTAAACATATATGTATGTATGTCTCCTGGGTCATGGTGTTTGTCGTGCACCACGCAACACTTAATTGTTGCGATTCATGCTCTTCCTTCGGCAGGTGCAAATCCATTGACCTATTTTTTCCGCACCCACTACAATACCCGGTTAAATTACCATTTTAGGGGTTTACTGCCTCTTACGCGGGTACCGAGCTGCAGCGTTACGTCTCCTTCGCGGCGCACCAAACCGAAGTTCGGGGAGTGCTCCCCATGGACACGCGCCTGGTTACCATGGGAACGCATGAGGTCAAATGCTGGAAGCGGTCTGGTGTGCAGCAGATGAAGTTGACGTCTGAAAAGATCACCAACCTGCAATGCCTGGCACCCACCCCGCGCAACGACAACGCTGTTATCCTGGGGGGACGTACAGGTGGGCTGCATGCGCACGTGTGTGTGTGTGTGTGTGTGTGTGTGTTTGTGGCGAGCCTGTATATCACCTGTGTTCACATTTGTACGCGTGTGTAGTGTGGTGCCAGCAGACAAGTGCTTGTGTGTGTAGTGTGTTGCCAGAAGAAAGTGGTGTGTGTGTGTGCGTCGTTCCTGCATGTACACGTGCGCTGCTCTTACGCGCATGTGATCCGTTCTGTGAGTGTTCCTGTGAGGCCTCCGTTCGTGTGTGTGTGCACGTAGATGTGAGCTGTATTTGGTGCTCATGAGATGGTCAGTAGGTATTGTTTATTCACCATTGGTCTACATATGTCCAGGCCCCAACAGTACACAGATAAATCGGACTTGACGTGGGCATGTATTGTGGTTGTTTCCTGTGTTGCCCTTGTGTGCTTGTTAGTTTGCGTGGTTTGAGTTAGTGGTAGGATGTCACTCCTGTACATGCTTCACACTCTTCCTATTACAACTCAACTGGCCTGGGCGGTTAAGATAAATGCATAAGACAACATAGACTACCCATGACTTAGAGTATGAGAGTGTGTGTGACTACCCATGGCCTAGAGTATGGGAGTGTATGTGATTACCCATGGCCTAGAGTATGGGAGTGTATGTTATTACCCATGGCCTAGAGTATGGGAGTGTGTGTGACTATCCATGGCCTAGAGTATGGGAGTGTGTGTGACTACCCAAGGCCTAGAGTATGGGAGTGTGTGTGACTACCCATGGCCTAGAGTATGGGAGTGTGTGTGACTACCCATGGCCTAGAGTATGGGAGTGTTTGTGACTACCCATGGCCTAGAGTATGGGAGTGTGTGTGATTACCCATGGCCTAGAGTATGGGAGTGTGTGTGGGCAAACCCAGCATACAGCACCTTACGAGGAACAGCTGGATGGCTAGGGTTTTGGGTTTTATCGGCTACTGACTGTGTCGGTTCACAGTTGCTGCCGCCACCAATACCTCACTCAACTCCGTACCTCATGTGCTTAGTATCATCTTATGTATTTAGTATTTATACCTCATGTCCTTAGTATTATATTATGTATATATTATGTATTTAGTATTTATACCTCATGTGCTTAGTTTTATCTTATGTATTTAGTATTTATACCTCATGTCCTTAGTATTATCTTAAGTATTTAGTACTGTCGTCGTGCTGGTCTGTTGCCGGTCACACTCAGTACAACTGGTGATGATAATAAGAGTGAAAAGGGCGGTTATGCGCATGCCTCAGCGTGGCGTATTGTTAGAAGCATCTGACACGCATGAGTTGTTGTTGTTGTTGTTGTTGTTGGTGTTGTTGTTGTTGTTGGTTGTTGTTGTTGTTGTTGTTG